AGCAGCACATGGGCTCAGTGTGCACTTTCTTTGTTCAAGGTTCTCCAACCTACTCCCACATGGGGCTTCTAGTTTATAGTGGTCACTTCTTTGGAATTCCTTTCCTGGTCTTTTACTCCTGCTGGAGTTTCTCTCAAAGGTGGGGTCCAGCCTGCTCTGCATCTGTTACTGGCTCCAGGTGAAAGTTTTATCAGGCCTGAGCTCACAAGGTGGGCTCTTTGCAGCGATGAGCTATTGGTTTTATTACATCCAAGGAATTCCATTGCCAGGGGCCCTTTCTGTCTAACTGCCTACATCACAGTTACAAAGTTGTTCATGACTGGGTTTCAGTCATATAATTTTCCAACACCAGTCCCTTCACCAGTGTACATATCCTGCCAACAGTGTCCCCAGTTTCCCTGCTGCCCCCTTCTCCCCAGCCTGCCTCTATGGCAGGCACTTTTTTTTTCTTTTTGGGTCACACCTGGCGATGCACAGGGGTTACACCTGGCGGCGCTCAGGGGACCATATGGGATGCTGGGAATCGAACCCGGGTCGGCCGCGTGCCAAGGCAAACGCCCTACCTGCTGTGCTATCTCTCCGGCCCCCTTTCTGTATTTTTAAGGTTTGAACTGTTTGAGGATCTTGCAATGCCTTTAATGAAAACGGCATCACTGAAAGTAGTTTAGGCAGTAAGATGGGGGTGGCGGTGGTGCTAGTGAAATATACTGGGAGGACAGTGTCTGAAACGAAAACCAGCCTGAAGGCATGAAGGTCTTGGACACAGAAGACCCATTTCATCCCAGAAAGCCACTGAGATGCAGAAATTCGGGTCTAATTCCAGGTCTCTGAGAGGAGACGCGCTCAGGAATGCGAGGACAAAGGCTGCAATAGGAACTGAGAATGGACAGAAGTTCAGTGCTTTTCCTTAGGACTCCTACTTGCGTAAAGAATTCTGGATTAAGGCAGATATAGAAAATATCCACACTTAACCTTTTCCAAGATGCTACTTCAGAGAACAAATCTTTACCTCTCTCTCTTCACTTCTCAGTTAATCTTATTTGACTTAATTATTTGCCTCTTCCTGAAATTTGTCTGTTAGGGAAATGAGATGGACCTGAAAAGCCCTGGTGAGACTTAGGACTGACTTTCCTGCGAAGAGCAATTGCTCAGTCAGCCTGAGTCCGTGGATCCTGGGGATGTTGGGTGGCAGGGATCATTCCAATGCCGGGCAGAACAAGTGGACTCCAGGCAGAGCCTGAAGGCCGCCTCATGGGGCTGGTGGGACATAAACATCATACAGTGGCTGAGATCTTCCCAGAAATTTTTTTTTTTTAAAGAATGTTAACTTACAGAGGGCCAGAGCGATAGCACAACGGGTAGGGCGTTTGCCTTGCACACGGCCGACCCAGGTTCAATCCCCGGCATCCCACACGGTCCCCCAGCACTGCCAGGAGTAATTCCTGAGTGAAGACCCAGGAGTAACCCCTGAGCATCACTGGGTGAGACCCCCCAAAAAAGCAAAAAAAAAATTACAAAGTTATTGATAGTTGAGTGTTAGATATGTAATGTTCTAGCACCAGCCCCACCATCAGTGTCAACTTCCCTTCATCAGTTTTCCATGTTCCCCCCAGCTGTCCCCCACTCACCCCACTAGCCTGCAAACTGACACACTGAAGTTTGGTGATTGTCGTCTGGAACTCATGTTTTCAGTGTTGTTGAGCCTGTGGTTCGGATACAAAGCTATATTCCTCCCCCACATTACCCGTGTACCTGAGGCCTTGACGCCTGTCCCCTGCTTCTTCTTTTTCTCATCTTACTTCCCTCCCTCCTCAACTGCTTTTCTTCTGTGTTGCTGTCCCATCGGGAAAAATAAGTATTCAGAATCAAGAGATGGTTGCAGAATAATCCAAAGGCTTACTGGAGTATTTCCACTCCGTAACTATGTTCTGCAGTTAAAAGTTCTGGTATTAAAAGTGGGTGCAGGTATAAAACAACATAACATGAAGCTGACACCTAAGGATAGTAGATACACGGGACAAACAGACTGCTCCATAGCTGGAAGCCTGCCTCATAAGCAAAGGGGAGAAGGCAGCTGGAATAGAGAAGGGATCGATCACTAAGAAAATGATGGCTTGAGGAACCGGTCAGGATGGGAGATGTGTGCAGAAAGTAAAGGACCAAACATGATAACCTCTACAGTGTCTGTATTCCAAACCATAATGCGTAGAGTATGGAGAATATTGTCTACAATGGAGGCAGGGAGAGGGTTGGGGAGGGGGTAATACCCGGGATACTGGTGGTAGGGAATGTGCACTGTGTTCCATCATTGTGTGATTGTAACCTAAACATGAAAGCTTGTAACTATCTCATGGTGATTCAATACAATTAAAAAAAATAATAAAAGTGGGTGCAGGGCAGGAATTTTAGTAATTTTTTGATATGACCTATATGATTACTATACTTTTGCAAGCAGTCTACTTGGATTTGATCCTCGGCAGTCCATATTGTCCCCCAAGCCCTCCTGGAGTGATTCCTGAGCACAGAGCCAGGGAGCAACCCCCAATCACCATAGGGTGTGGCCCCAAAACAACAATTAAAAAAAAATGGCGGGGCTGGAGCGATAACACAGCGGATAGGGTGTTTGCCTTGCACGCGGCCAACCCAGGTTTGATTCCCAGCATCCCATATGGTCCCCTGAGCACCGCCGGGTGTAATTCCTGGGTGCAAAGCCAGGAGTAACCCCTGAGCATCACCGTCTGTGACACAAAAAGAAAAAAAAATGGGTGCAGGGTGAAAGACAGAGTTCAAGGACTGAGCACATGATTTGCATGAGGTGTGGGTTTGAGCCTAGGCACTGCAGATGGTCTTTTGTTAGGGGATATAGCAAGAATCCAGTTTTTTTTTTTTTTGATCACACTTGGCGATGCACAGGGGTGACTCCTGGCTCTGCACTCAGGTATCACTCCTGTTGGTGCTCAGGGGACCATATGGAATGCTGGGAATCAAACCTGGGTTGGCTGCATGCAAGGCAAATGCTCTACCTGCTGTGCCATCACTCCAGCCCCGCAAGAATCCAGCTGAATCAAAGGCAAAGGCTGCCACGGGGCACATTAAAATTCCAGAAACTAGCTGATTTTTTTTTTTTTTTGGCAACATAACTGATGAACAGGTAGTAGGGCAACAGAAGGAAAATCCAGGTCATCAACTTGGAAGCTATAGTTTTCTGTTAATGCATAATCAATTACCTCAGAGTCACTTCAAATAACATAAATGTATCATCTGTGTTTTATGTCAAGAGATCAATATAGACCTAGGTTCAAATCAAAGCACATTCAGAATATGCTTCCTTTTCATTCAGGTTCTGCTAAGATTCAGTCAGCTAGGACTATTTTTTTCTTTTTGCTTTTTGGGTCACACCCGTGATGCACAGGGGTTACTCCTAGCTCTGCACTCAGGAATTACCCCTGGCGGTGCTCAGTGGACCATATGGAATGCTGGGAATCGAACCTGCATCAGCCACGTGTAAGGCAAACTCCCTACCCAACTGTCCTATTGCTCCAGCCCCCAGCTAGGACCATCTTTAACAGAGACATCTCAGAACACTGAATTCTCATATTATTTCTCTCTGGAGACAGTTTGAAGATTTTCTGCTTTGAGATACTCAGTGAACTGGGTCAAAGGGCTGGAGCTCTGATCCAGACTGAATCACTTGGTCTCCCAACACCATGTAGAGCAACTCCAAATCATTGCCAAGGTGTGGCCAGAAAACAACAAAAAATTCATTCACATTAGATCGAGCTCATTTGGATGACCCAAAATATTCTTTCAATGTCTAAGTTCTTAACCACAACTCTAATCTCTTTAGCCACAAGACCAGGAGGACGTGAACATCTTGGGAGATAATTATTCTACACCCAGCAGTACTCAGGAGACCATACACACTGAATGGGGGGGGGGGGGTGCTGGAGCAATAGCACAACGGGTAAGGTGCTTGCTTTACATGCGGTCGCCCCGGGTTCAATTCCCAGCATCCCATATGGTCCCCTGAGCACCACCAGGAATAATTTCTGAGTGCATGAGCCAGGAGTAACCCCTGAGCATTGCTGGATGTGACCCAAAAAGAAAAAACAAAAACACTGACTGGGTAAGCCACATGCAAAGAGAATGCCTCAACCTCTAGACTATCGCCCCATCTTGCAGCATGTGTCTTAATTTTAATTTCAAATTTATCTTTATCATCTTTTTTGTGGGGCCATACCCAGTGATGCTCAGGGTTGATTCCTGGCTCTGTGTTCAAGAATCACTCCTAGAAGGCTTAGGGGGTCATATGCTGAGAATTGAACCCAGGACAGCTGCACGCCAAGCAAGTGCCCTACTCACTATACAATCACTCTGGCCCCATGAACTTCAATTAATGCCACCTTAGATTCATAATCAAAATGAATTTTATGATAATTTATCTCTACCATTACTTGAATATGTGTATTCCTAGCCCTAGAGAATCTGAAGATGATAATCAGACATTGTGACATTGTGAGGTCATGGGGTGGGTTAGATAGTGAGGTCTCAAAGTGAGATTAGGGGATGGAGAAAATGAAATTTGGAACAGGCTTTAATGCAGTCCCTTTCCATGTACCTCTACAGGATTTTGTTTTGGGGTTACACCTCAGGGGATACTCCTGGCAGTACTGGGGGAGACCATACTGGATGCTGGAGATTGAACCCAGGTCAGCTGTGTGCAAAACAAGCACCCTACCTGCTATACTATTGCTCTGGCCCCAACTTCTACAGGTTCTTATCTTCCAAACCAAAATCAAAACCAAAATAAATTTCTGAAAAGGCCAGGCTGTAAACCAGTATTAAAGCACTTGCCTTGAATTTGTGAAGCCCTGTGTCCAATCCCCAGCACCAAAGAAAACAAAAAAAGCAATGTTATTGCAAATGTATATCCTTCTTGGGAAAGAAATGTATCTAGCCTATTTTCCCATTCCAGAGACAGCTGTCTAAGGACCAAATATTCTTAAATACAAACATGCAAATAATTTACATTTTCATAACATTTAATATAAACTATATACAGTAACTTTTTCTTTTAATTATATCTTACATAAGATAGCCACTATGGATATGTTCAGAGATCAGAAACAAGTTGGATGGCTAAGTAGATGGCCCAGTCCTATGGGCTATTTTCTCAGAGGTTTTATAAGTCAGAGTTAATTTGAGGAAGGGAGTCCCAATTACCCAATTATGTGAGAAATAAGAAAAGGGTAATATGTAGTCCATTAGAAAGAGATGGCCATTCATTCAACATCCAAGGATACACAGTTCCCAACTAAACACCTTCATGGAGTCCTCCTTCAATTTTCCAAGTCTTGTAACAAAAACTTCTCTGTAGAGTTATCTTTGTCATGCCCAGAGTAAGAAGACACCCAAACCTTTAGACACTTTTGGTCCTCTTCCCCAAGATTTGATTTTATGTTTGCTAAAGTGTTCAGTAGCTCAGAAGAAACACATGGTCTGAGCTGTTGTCTAGTCAAGGGATCAGAAACCCTTGTTTAAAGAATGGGGCATTAATTTCCTTCAAAGCCAAATGGCCTCCCAAAACAAATTATCAGCTGACAGAAGTGGATTCTGGTTTTCCATTTGTGGTGACCACTCCACTTTGAGGCAATGGCACAGAGCCTTCCTCAGAACTCCGAGATCTACAGCCGTCTCCAGTCATGTGCACTGGGTCCTGGTAAAAGAAACAGAGGTACTATGGTTACAAAGTCATTGTTTGTGGTCTGAAGCATGAATCTGACTTATCAATGCCCACTTACAGAACAATAAGACAGCAGAAACAAATCAACTCTGGCTAGATGATGTGCTTAAAAAAATTTTAATGTCATTCATGAGGTTTTCCCAATGGGAGAAGGTATGGGTTGTTTCTTCCAAATGAAATAGCCATTCTTGGTGAGGTTCCAGAACAGCTAACAGATCACAGGAAGACAGTTCTTTGGGCCCTTGTTTGAAATCAACAGCTAGAGTGTAACTATTGATCTTCAGTCAGGGCCATTGATAACCTATCCAGCCAACCTCATAGTTAAAAATCTTCAGTCCTTGTCTTTATTCTACTATGAAACAATTCCAGGGCTTCCAGGGCTGACCTATTCTTTTTTAAAAAGGGAAAGCTTTAGCTATATTTCTTTGTATTAGTAATTCCTGATTAAATAAATATATGTCCTTTTTTTTTTTTTTGCACTTTGGATCATACCCGGTGATGCTCAGGGTTCAGGGGTTACTTCTGGTTCTGCACTCAGGAATTACTTCTGGTGGTATTTGGGGGACCATATGGGATGTGGGGGATCAAAAGTGGATTGGTCACCTGCAAGGCTAACGCCTGACACACTGTGCTGTTGCTCCAGCTCTATGTTCCGCTTTCTGACATACAGATGTTTCTGTTAATGGAACTATCTGAGAATTAAGGCAATGGTGTGAAAAAAGAAATTTCTTAGAAGTACCTTCCTTATAGTCACTGAGCCAAAGCCTTCTGGGACACCTTTAGTCTATTTGTGATGATACCCCCAACTCCCTGGGAGTATATGCTAGGCAGTGGGGAAGCCTCTGCCTGGCTGATCATTATATGAGGGAAGCCTGGCTAGGATTGTTTTGTTTCTTCACTTGCCAAAATATCCATTGGGGCTTCAGCAATTTCTTTGACTGAATGATCATCAAGGTTTAGTGAAGGATCAAATAGCAAGGGTGAAGGAGGACACTGCATGCCATCACCTACAACATCCAAGTCCTGGAAAAAGAAAAAAAGAAATCTATCAGCAACAGGAAGCTGAAGTTTCAGGAAACTTCAAAGCATGACTCTTTCCTTTACCTTTCACAATTAAAAGACAGAGGATGTCCCATTCTGAAACAAGGGATTTTTTTCTTGCTATCAAGCAGAGTACTATAATGGCTTTAAAAAGCATATTCTTTTTTTTTTTTTTTTTTGCTTTTTGGGTCACACCTGGTGATGCTCAGGGGTTACTCTGGCTTTGCGCTCAGGAATTACTCCTGGCAGTGCTCAGGGTACCATATGGGATGCTGGGAATCGAACCCGGGTTGGCCACGTGCAAGGCAAATGCCCTACCCGCTGTGCTATCACTCCAGTCCCAAAAAGCATATTCATTAAAAAAAAAAAATTTAATCACCATGGGAATACAAAATTACAAAGGTTTTTTTTTTTCTTTTTGGGTCACACCCAGTGATAATCAAGGATTATTCCTGGCTCTGCACTCAGAAATTACTCCTGGCGGTGCTCGGGGGGCCATATGGGATGCCAAGGATCAAACCCAGGTTGGCTGCGTGCAAGGCAAACACCCTACCAGCTGTGCTATTGCTCCGGCCCCAGAGATGTATAATGTTTGAGTACCCCTCCCTTCACCACTTTACTCCTCTCTACTAATGTCTCTAGTTTCCATCACTTTATGGCAGACACTTTTTTCCTTTTGGGTACTGTGGTCTGCAATACTGTTACTGAATGGATATCAAGAATAGCACCATATCGCTTTTCAGTACTCAGTTCTTGTCTGGAGTGATCACTTTTCACAATCATCATCATAGTGGTTTCTTCTCGGATTTAACCACCCTCCCCACATTGTAGCAAGCTTTCTAATAAGGACCAATTCTCCTGGTCTTCATTCCCATTGTCTTTGGGTATTGAGAGTCTCCTATGTTTCTACTAAAAAGCATACTTTTAAGTAGAAAAATAGAGGCAAAAGGACAATAGTGGTTACCAGAGGCCTGAACAGAGGGAGAAGTCAAGTCAGTTTCTGTTTAGGTTTTTGGGTCATACCTGGCAGTACTCAGTACTTGTATGTGTCAGGAACTGAATCACGATTGGCCACATGCAAAGCAAGCATCTTAAACCCCACACTATCTCTGTGTCTCTGGCTAATGGGAAAGTTCTGGATATAAGTAGTGGCGATTACTGCAGTTACTGCCAGAGTGCAGAGCCAGGAGTAACCCCTGTGCATTGCCGGGTGTGACCCAAAAAGCAAAAAACAAACAAACAAACAAACAAACAAAAAAACCACAACTATTTTGGAGCCCAAAATGTAACTCATTAGTAGAAGAAACATTTGCCTGCTTTCAACCCCTGACATCAAAATAAAGGATCAGCAGAAATACCTACCATACCAGGAATGATTCGACTTTTGAATATCAAGACACAACTATCTTTGCATCAAAGCAAAAACAGGTAAGTTAATACTTATCCAGAATGATAATTGTTGGGGACCAGAATCCAGAATGCTGGAGCCCCAAGATGGAGTGCTGCCCTACCTTGAAATAAGTGTTTTACATCTGTTTATATTTATGTTCAATTAAAGCATAAAGTTTATATATAACTAAACCTGTTCATATTTATATTTGACCAACACCCTTGGATATGAAGAAGACTAAGCCAACTAAAGAATGTTTGTAGTTCTCCTAATGTTTATTGACTCTAAGCAATAAATACAGCAAGCTGAGGGCAGTAGGACTCTCAGTCCATAGGATCATGCCAGTTCCCTGAAAGCATGCTTTTCCTCTCTTATTTCTTTCTCTTTAATTCATCCTTCTGTGCCTGTTTCAGGCTTGTTCACCTGGGGCACATAATAATCATTATGATATCCAGAATAAAAGCCGATTTTAATACCAAGCTTTCCATAAGTAAACTACCAAAAGCAATTGTTAATAACAAAACATAAAAGATTATATATAAACAGTGGCTGGAGTGATAGAACAGCAGGTAGGGCGTTTGCCTTGCATGCGGCCGACCCGGGTTCGATTCCCAGCATCCCATGTGGTCCCCTGAGCACCGCCAGGAGTAATTCCTGGTGCAGAGCCAGGAGTAACCCCTGTGCATCACCGGGTGTGACCCAAAAAGCAAAAAAAAAAAAAAAAAAAAAGATTATATATAAAATTTAAAAAGTATAAAAAGCTGATTAGTTTTATATCCCTAATAACAAAAAACATTGTGAAAACTCATTAGATTAAAATATAAGGTTTCTTTTCATACATTTTAAAAAAATATATTGAAATACATGTTTTCACTACATCACTGTCATCTTCTTGTTCATTGATTAATTGAGTGGGTGCCGGTAATGTCTCCATTGTCCCAGCCCTGAGATTTTAACAGCCTCTCCTTACTCGTCTTCCCCAACACTGCCATACTAGTAGGAGGCTCTGTCAGTGTCATGATAATGAGACCCGTTATTATTACTGTTTTTGGCATATTAGATATGCCACAGGTAGCTTGCTAGGCTCTGCCATGTGGGTGGGATACTCTTGGTAGCTTGCCAGGCTCTCCGAGGTGTGTGTGTGTGTGTGTAAATATATATATTTCCCTCTATTATTTGTTGCCTACAGTCAGAACTCCACCAAATATGGTGTGGTAATTATGGAAAATGGATAGGGAGTGTCTAAAGCAGCCGTGTGGTCCAGGAGTATGTTCACTCATATGTGAGGCTCGGCAGGAGTGTGTGGAAAGCGGCCTGGACTGTGGCAGCAGTTGGGTAGTGGAGGTCGGCTGCCGGGGCTGGGTCCCTTGGGGTGGGGAGGGCTCTCACCCCCCCCACCCCCCGGGGCCCTGAGTGAAAGCAGCCTGGTGCAGAGTCCAGGGTAAGGGTAATGAATTAATTTTTGTGGGGGAGGAGGTGGAGTGGACTATGGGGGAATATTTAAAGTGAAGGAATCTGGATAAAATTCTGCCCTAAAGAGAGTGCTATCCGGGGCTGGAGCAATAGCATAGCGGGTAGGGTGTTTGCCTTACACGCAGCCAATATGGCCGATCCAGGTTCGATTCCCAGCATCCCATATGGTCCCCTGAGCACCGCCAGGAGTAATTCCTGAGTGCATGAGCCAGGAGTAACCCCTGAGCATCGCCGGGTGTGACCCAAAAAGAAAAAAAAAAAAAAAGAGAGTGCTATCCGTTAACATACTTTCATACTACACTATGATTGGAAAGGTTTAAGACTGGAAAGTACATAACCACCAAGGTCCTTTTATGGTTCTCACTGTAGGAATTTTTGTGAAAGAAACTAAAAAGCAATTATAGGGGCCAGTGTTAGTACCGTGGGCAGGATGCTTGCCAGCAGTGGTTCAAAACAAAACAAAGCAATTAAGCAATTATGGTCTGGAATATAATTCAAGTGGCAGGGTGTGGAATTCACAGGACAGTCAGTTCAATCACTGGCACTCTATGCTCCCCTTCACCTGCCACCAACTTGTAGGAGTACTGCCTGGTAACCCGTAAGCACTGCAGAGTAAAGTCCCAGGTTCTTAGCACTACAACAGAGCGCATCACCCCTAGAAAGCAGGATAACAGAAATTATCTAGGCCATCTCAATAAGGTTTCTTCAGGATATCCATGGCTGTACCCAAAGATGTTTGAGGAGTCATGTGGTATCAAGGATTTGAACCTGGGCCAGCAGGATGCAAGGCAAGAACATAACCTGTGTACTATATGCCTGACCTTCTGTGCCCCTATTTTTTCTTTTTGGATCACACCCAGCGATGCACAGGGGTTACTCTTGGCTCTGAACTCAGGAATTATTCCTGGCAGTGCTGAGGGACCATATGGGATACTGGGAATTGAACCCAGGTTGGCTGCATGCAAGGCAAATGCCCTCCTCGCTGTGCTATTGCTCCAGTCCCCTATTAAAAATGTTTTATCAGTTAATTTTCTATTTGAATCTGTTAGTCAAAAACTGTTATGGTTGAAAGGCTAGAGAGGCAGTATGGAGGTTAAGGCACTTGCCTGGCATACAATCAATCTTGTTAAATCCCTTGGCATCACCTATGGCCTCCTGAGCACTGGACCCAGGAGCACCTGGAGCACTGCTGAGTGTAGTCCCACCCTCCCCTCAAAAAATGGTAATACTGGGGGGTCTAGAAGCTAGCACGTGGTCGGAGACACATACTCTGCATGCATTAACCCCTGGTTCAATCCCTAGCATTGCATGGCCTGCATTGCTGGGTATAACCTTAGAGGGTTCCAGTATCAGTAAATGTGGCACTAAAATCTCAGCAGTGCAGAGCTCAAGAATATCACATGAGCAGGCTCAAGCACCAAGGGCTTAAGCAGCAGGCTAGATATCATTAGGAGCAAAGCCCCCAATCCCACAAAAATGTTATGACTAGACCAGTGAGGTGGTTTAATTAAGAGTTTGTACCTTCTGGGGGTATGGTGCCGCCAGCAGGTCAATCTGTACCTGTGAGGCGAGTGCATCAGCAGCCTGATGGCGCCTTCAGACTTTCAGATACCCCCAAATTGCTGCTGTGCCTCTGGCCAAACCCCAACAATTTGGGGCAAAGTTTACCAAGAAAGTAAACGGCCAAAAGTTAGGTATGTGGGAGACACACCCACAAACCACCTCCGGTTCAGCTATATAATCGGAGGCAAGACCTCTCTGGTTCCTGATCAAACTGCTTAATGGCCATGATCCCAGAGACTCAGAAACAAATCTTGGAACCCAGAGGCTTTTGGCAGAAATGCGTCCAGTCCCCACAGTAGGTTACTGGTGCAGGGCCACCCCAGGTGGGAATAGGTTTTGTGCCTTGGCCTGCTCCCCCTGGTGGCCTGGTGGCCGCCATCCTTCAGAGGCCACTGGATTGTCAGGTTTGGGCCCCCAGTGATGGAGGTGGAGCCGGCCCTTTCCTCCATGTCCCAATGAGACCCTGAGTCACCACCCACGAATGGCCTCTCTGGCTCCTAATCAAGCTGCTTAACAGCCATGATCCCAGAGACTCAGAGACAAATCTCGAAACCCAGCAGCTTTTGACAAAAATGCGTCCAGACCCTGCAGTAGGTTACTGTCACCGGGCCACCTGGGGGGGGGGGGGGTTGGGGGGGGAAGGGTGCTGTCCCTCCGCCTGCTCCCCTGTGGCGGCCACTCCTCCAGAGGCCATTGGACAGTCAGGTTTGGGCCCGCAGTGATGAGACATGTGGGGCCTCATGGGATGGGGGTGGAGCTGGCCCTTTCCTCCCCACCCCAATGAGACCCCGAGTCGCCAGCCATGAATGGCCTCTCTGGCCCTGATCAAGCTGCTTAATGGCCATGATCTCAGAGACTCAGGAACAAATCTCGGAACCCAGCAGGCTTTGGCAGAAATCCCTCCAGATTTAATTGTTAAAATTTCAGAATTTCAAAATCGTGTGGCCACTGCTACAGCCATGTGACAGCAGAGTTATGAACAGCCGCCAAACACTGCCAGGTGTGGCTCCAAATAAAACTTCTGGGGAGATAGTATAGGGATTAAGGTACTTATCCTGCATCATGTGGCCAACCACAGTTGAATTCCAAGCACTACATACACTTCCCAAACATTGCCAGGGTCACTGCTGAGCAGTCAGGAGTAGCCCCTCAACATTGCCGTGTATGGCCCCAAACCCACCCCACCTGGGGGAACAGACGGTTGGACACACACAAATACACACATGAAAATTTATACTGACCCTAAATGAACATGTCAATACATAAATACAGTCATACATACGTTATAATATCAAAAACATCATTAACCCTCAGAGCCACAGGAAGATCAACCTATTCTCACCGATACCACGAAAGGCCTTGCTACGGCAGAGCTTCTCTAACTTACATCGCTGAACTCCAGAGGTAAACTCTCAGTGGGCTGAAGCTCAGCAGCACTCAAGTACAGGTCCATGGGGCCGGCGTCCAGATCGTCTGGCACGGACAGTACCTGCTCGGGCTTATACATCTGAGGGGGCAACTGGAAATGCAGTGGACAGCAAGGATCCTCAGAGAGGCTCACAGGAACTGGTTTGTTGCAGGGAACCTCTTCAGATCCCTGGCAGCATTTGAAGAGAACCTGATTCGTATCCTGACAAATATCTGTAGAAATATGGTTAAGGAAAATAAAGTATCTATAAAAGGTGTAACGTAGGACAAGTTATCTGCCATGTGAAACTCAAGTTCTACTCAAGTTCTGGACTCAAGAAGTGGCTACAATTGATAGAAAACCAAATGTTGTTATTAATTCTAAAGTTATTCCTAACTATTAGATGCTACTTACTAGCATAACTCTAGTCCTACCAGTAATTTAAAACCAGTTCCCAATCTCTTCATAATTCTAGTCATTTATACCAGAAGATACCCATCTTGTTCTCCTTATGAGGATCACGCACAAAACATGACAAACATGCTAAGCAAACTGCAAAAAAAAATCATCCTAGGAACTGACACCTATTCTTAGGAAACAAGTCATGATGGAAATAAATAGCTGATGGAGAGGCATATTTTCCAATCCCGTCCAGAGTCAGTGTTATTTCTCCTCTGCTAAGGAGGCAGAAAGCTTACAAAAACCTGTGAAATTTATGAGGTAATGCAGGTGTACTGTCATGGTCCCAAAGAGAAAGAACAGACAGACAGCACAGATGAAGAGTACTTTCTCAAGGAAAGAAAGTACTCCAGGACGGCTACAGAAACTTTTAACAACTTCTGTTATGAGTGGCACTGTAGTACTGTCCTCCCGTTGTTCATTATTTTGCTTGAGCGGTAACGTCTCCATTGAGACTTGTTACTGTTTTTGACAGAACGAGTAAGTCATGGGTAGCTTGTCAGGCTTTGCTGTGCGGGTGGGATACTCTAGGTAGCTTGCCGGGCTCTCTGAGAGGGGCGGAGGAATCGAACCCGGGTCGGCCTCGTTCAAGGCAAATACCCTACCCACTGTGCTATCGCTCTGTCCCCTGTTAAGGGTAGAAGCAGAAAAACGCTGTATTTTGGAATAGGCAAAGAAAGTCTACCACAGAATAAACCAAATTAATCATGGATAAAAAAAGAATTCCAATTTAAATTACCGTGCAAAATACAATTAAGTGTTATCATTTCTTGAAATTATAACTACATGGTTATTTTCCTGATGGGAATATATATATATATATATATCAAATTTGAACTCATTTTTAAGTCAGAAAGCATACTTTCCTATAAATTAAATCCAGAAACAAAGAATTATGAGTAAATTTTTTTTTTTTTTTGCTCTTTGGGTCACACCTGGAGATGCTTAGGAGTTACTCAGGAATTGGCTCATGGTGGTGATATGGGTCCATATGGGATGCCCAGAATTAAACTTGGGTAGGCCATGCGCAAAGGCAGCTTTTCTATCCTTTCTTAGAAACTGCTGCACTCTACAGGATTTCACAATCTTGGCTTTATTAACACCAGCACCGTCTGCATTGAGATGTAAGTAAGCAAATGTCTTCCACACTGCCCCAACTTCGGGCATACGCTCTAAAGGAGCAATAGTTCAAATCAAAGAACTATTTATCAAATGAAAACAAATGGTCAAACAAGCATAAATCTAAAGAAAACAATCAGATATGCAGCCTCTATGTGCAAGAAAGTCATCAGTCTCTAATGTGCCACATAAAGTCAAATCTCAATTAAATTATTAATATTTTAAATAATAATCCAGATTGAAGAGCGTGCTTTGCAGATAGGAAGCCAGATTTGATCCCTTGAACTGCATGGTCTCCTGAGCACCACAGAAATGACTCCAAAGTTGGGTGTGGCCCCCAAACAAAGGCAATTAATTTATTAAATTAAATGGCTTTTTAAAAAACTTTTTTCATGGAATCCCAAGTCGTCCACAAATCTGTTATTTAATATAACAATATCCTGGAGGGACAGGGAGGGGGAGTGAACCTCTACTCCCATTACCTTCCACGCCCTTTCCTTTCAGATGGGGACAACAAAGACAAACAGAAGGGAGTAGCTGACCTACAACTAGAGCCTGGGTCCTTCACTTTCAGTGCAGTGCTGTCTCCATTAGACCAAAGAGTTAACAGGTCATGAATGGCATCCTTCTCTGGGATAAGGACTTAAGGAAGGGTAAGTGACTTTGGCAACTATGGAGGGGAACAGAAAAGAGCATTAAAGAAAAAAATTTTTTTTTCTAATATAAATACTTCAACTTTGCTTTTTAAATGTATTAATATTCTAATGAGTTTTTTTTGATATACTAAGTCCATAATATCTATATTGAGGTTTGCCTTATAAATACAAATATTTTATTGAAAACCTAAAAAAAAAAAAAAATCAGAGGAAAAAGACATTCACACCCCCAACACCTAAAATCAGTCAGTCACATCTGCTACAATACTTCCCAGTATTTAGAGTTTCATGCAATCTTATGATTTTTATTTTTCATTTTCCCATGTCATTTTAGAACTAAATTTGTTTTAATCTTTTTAAGTGTATAATGTCTGAAGATTTCCCAAATTATGTTGTGTAATTTTCGTCTCTACTTCCCATCTCTAAATTTCCATTATTTATTTATTTTTAAAATTTTTATTAGTGAAACACCATGAGGTACAGTTGTAGATTTACAAATTTTTGTGCTTGGGTTTCAATTGTACAATGATCAAATACCTTATTAGATGTTTACTGGCAAACAAAATCCCACTTCAGGGGTGGGTTTTAAGCTATGCGCCCAACAGTACTTAAGAGGTTCTCTTGGCAGTGCTTGAGGAGACTGGGAATCAAATCCGGGCTTCCCACTTTCAAAAATGTACTCAACCTACTGCATACTATGACCAAATTAAATTAAAAAATCATCTTTCCATTCAAAATACTAATAAATGATTCTCCTCTATTAAATGAACTGATTTTAGCCAGGAAGATGGCTCAGTAGGCTGGAGCACCTGCTTTAAATGGGAGAGCCAAATTCAATCCCTAGCACCTCATGATCCTCACCAGCAGTTCCAGGAGCAACTTGCAAGCACTGAGCCAACGGCAGGTTCAGAGAAACACTGGATGTGTGGCTAAAAATAAATAAATAACTCAAAACATTTAAAAAAATAAATAAATAAAAAAGCAGCATTTTATTTTCAGTAGCTTTATCTCAGGCAAACACAGGTAGTACAGCAGACAGGGCATTTGCCTTGCACGTAGCCGTCCAGAGTTCAATCCCTGGCAATCCAGATGGTCCCCCAAACTCCACCAGGAGTTATCCCAAATGCAAAGCTAGGAATAAGCCATGAGCAACATCAGGTGTGGCCCAAACAGACAAAAAAAGCAAGGAGCTGTACCTCTTGAAAAGGCAAACGAAATTTAGTCTTTTATTATAAAGATAATAAAGATATCACATTTAAGTACTTTTGCTACACAAGTAACTATCAATGTCCCTATTAAAGAAATAAAGATATCCTCTCATGATCCAGTAAACAAGTTTTATGGCCTAATTAATAAACGTAATCCCACAGTCAAAAGATGCTATAATTCAAAAGTCAATTCATTGATGGTGTGGGGAATCATGCCATACTTACCAATTTTAATGAAGTTTAAAATATACAATTAAATTTGTATTTTGATTACATTAAAAAGGCAGGTAGGGCATTTGCCTTACACGCGGCCCACTCGGCCGACCCGAGTTCGATTCCTCCGCCCCTCTCGGAGACCCGGCAAGCTACCGAGAGTATCTTGCCCGCATGGCAAAGCCTGGCAAGCTACCCGTGATGTATTCAATATGCCAAACACAGTCACAACAAGTCTCACGATGGAGACGTTACTGGGTCCGCTCAAACAAATCGATGAACAACAGGAGGACAGTGTGATTCAAAGAAAGACAATAATTCAGAATCATCCTATTCTTTCGGGATGGAAACCCCGTAGAGTAATTTTTGTAATGATGATATTTAATAAGCATTATAATTCTAATGAACAAGATAAATCAGGGTTTCTGTTTTGAAATTTCACTACTTACTACAAAATCCACACCTATCTCTAATCACTCAGGTATTTCTTTCTAACAAGCTGATCATTGTATTTCCAAAATTCTGAAACAGGCAATAAGATAATTCTTTATTCTTGGAGGGAAGCGGGCACACCCAGCAATGTTTAGGGCTTAATCCTGGTAGGTTGGGGGACCACATGGGATACTGGGGATTGAACTTAAGTTGCCTATATGCAAGGCAAGTGTACTATCTCTCCTGGCCCAAGAGAAACAATGCTTTAGGTTCCTGCTTGAAACCAACAGCTTTAGCAGACGATTTAGGAACAAAGGAAAACAAAGACCTTTAATTAGCAAACTACCAGACTCCTTGAGTCTGTTACTGTAAAACCAAATTAAACAAAGTAAAAAGATACGGGTAAGGCAGTGTCTGGTCATTGGAAGAGACTGATTGGAACAACGAACATCATCCACAAAGGCCAAGCACCTCTGACTGGAACGAGTGGTATGGGCCTAAAAAGGAAAAATTAGGTAAGTGAAAGCAAATCAACAAAAGAATGTAACAAAACGCAGTTATGAGAACACTTAGGTGTGACATTTAAGACTTTCTTAAGGCTATGCAAAGGGAAAACAGATGTTCAAACATAAAGTTAATTCTTAAACAGTTTTGTACTATTTGACTTTGAGAATTATAATCATGTATGTGGAGCCTCAACAAACAAAAGATAAAAACAGAATTTCTCTTATTGAATCAGGGATGAAGAACTTGAGAAACAAAGTGAAGATTATTTAACTGTTTCCTGTAAATCCTACATCCTGATATTCATCGATCCCATAGTTCTGTCAATCTCCCCACCTTCTAAAACATTTCTCTAAGCATCTAAGTCTTGAGGTAAAGAATTTCTGAACTAAACCAATCAGAAATCAATAGACTCTCCTTACTGTGCACATGAGAATAGAGGCACAGGGAAGTCATCAATGAGGTTAAACTGTCAGTTATCAAAACTGTTAGAAGGGGGCCAGAAGATTTTACAATTGAATAGGGTGCTTGCCTTGCACACAGCTAATCATGGTTCTATGCCCAGAACCAACAGGAGTGATCCCTGAATGCAGAGCCAGGAGTAAGCCCTGAGCATAACTGGGTGTGGCCCCAAAGCAAAACAAAACAAAAACTGATAAGGTAAAGAAGCCTAGCATTCATGTCTCAAAATTTCCAGATAAATATTCTAATATCTTTCTGGTTTTGTTTCTGGGTCATACCCAGCTTTCTGCTCAGGATCACTCAGGAGAACCATAGATATACCAGATCTGACTCAGGGTCAGCTGCAAGCAAGACAAGTACTTAATGCCAGTATCATCTATTTCTCAGGCCCTAAAATAAATTATTTTCAATATATCCCATGACCAGTAAATTAGATTCAAAACCAACAAGATATTTTAGAAGTTTATCTTTTTGTAAATTTAAAACAAGCATATATAGCATATATACGTACTTCAGGAGTATACATAGAAATTACCTGCTGGGAAGCACCATCTGTGGCCAGCATTCTGCGTTCCTTCAGTTGCCTATGTAATAAAGCTTCTGCTCCATAGCGCTGACGATAACGTCGAAGACACTTGAGTTGCTTCAGGTTCTCTCGTTCTTTGGCCAAAAGTCCTTCTGGGCCAGTCAGAAGACTACTACCTGGAGAGTGCAATAGTCAAGATGTTACTTGCTGGCACAAGGGAGATAATTTAAAGTACTAGACCCATGTTTTGCACAAAGGAGGCTGAGTTCAGTATCTTTGCACCATTCCCCAGCATCATACCAGACGTAGCCTCAAAACAAAAAAAATAAAGGAAAGTTACCTTCAAGGATAATTCTCCCAAGTAACAAACAGAAATGTTTGATATTTATCATCCCAAGAATTAACACAGAAATAAATCTAATTTCTTCCAAATCTACATACTGAATTCAAATCTTGTTGGTACTAGCATTAAACTTGCCTAGAGCTTCATGTTCTACTTTGCGATTATGTAGGTAACGTCGCTTCTTCTCCTTGAGCAGATGCTGAAGTCGTTTAAACTGGTCAATGTATAAGGACTGCAAACGAATAAGCTTCTCCCGCATAATCAGGGCCACTTCTTCTGCTGTGTAGACACCTGCATGTCTACAACAAAACAGCTCAGTGAAGCATAAACAAAGCACATTAGGGACGAAAAACAATATAGCGGGCATGTGCTTGCCTTGCATGCGACCAATCCTGGCTGGATTCCTACTACTACATATGGTCCCTCATGTCTTACCAGGAGTTATCCGAGCACAGAGTCAGGAATAAGCCTGAACACAGGTGGGTGTGGCTCAAGACTAAACCAAAACCAAAAAAGTGCACACTAATAGACCCAAGCCTAAAGGAAAAAAGGATAGAAGTCACTCTTTTTCTATTTGAAAACAGTCAGTACAGATACTATCAACTCATTAAACAATGTTTTCACAATTATAACCATTTAAGTCATTAAAAAAACAAAATGATGGGGCCGGCAGATAGTCTTCTATGCAGTTAACCCAAGCTCAATTCCCAGGACTTTATATGGTCCTCTCAGCACTGCAGGATATGGCCTAAATACCCAAGAAAAAAATCTTTAAAATGAACACTAATATATGTATAAATCACATAATATGAAAGGGAGAAAATTTTATTAATTCCCCCAGTTTTTTGTACTGCTTGAAGAGTTACAGTGAAATCTTTTACTGAGTTCTAGTCTCAATCCATTTAATGCACCCCCTCATCCCCCCCAATCACTTATCCATCAGAGCAGTTCAAACACCAAGATAATAAAGCAGAATGTATCTTAATGTTTTAATTAAAACAATAATCACAAAACTTTTTTCTTTTTAGCCTTTGGGCCACACTGGCAGTGCTTAGGGGTTCCTTCTGGTGGTACTCAGGGGACCATATGGGGTGCCAAGGATTAAACCGGGTCAACCATATTGTAAGGCTAACATCCAGGGTCAGGAAAACAGCACAAAAGGCAAGAATTGCAAGTTGTATATTGGAGGCAATTGCTAGCAACTCATGTCTGGTCCCCACCAAACACCAGGTGGGGTCCCCAAACAAAACATTATCCTTGCTGGAGATCTAACTCAATAGCAGAACATGTACCTAATAAGATGGAACTCTGGATCCAAACACTGCACCAAAAATATTTTAATAAAAATAAGTACAATAGAATTACACAGATAGTATAGCAGATAGGATCCTTGGCTTGGACTCGGCCAACATGAATTTCATCCCTGGCATTCCATATCGTCTCCCAAGCATGGCCAGCAGTAATTTCTGAATGCAGAACCAGGAGTAACCAACCAGAGCACTGCCGGGTATGACTACTACCCACCGCCTCCCCCCCAAAAAACAAATGGAACTTGCCTAGCATGCAGGAGGCCTATAGTGAGCCTCCTGGCACCACATCTATAGCAAGCCACCTGAGCACCACTGAGAATACACCCACCAAAACTAAATACAACAAATATCTACCCTATATTGAAAATGCTATGGGCACTCAAACTCTGGCCACAACATGTTAGTCACTGCCCACAACTCCTTTTCTTGACAATATTCTCAAAATATCAAGGCTCAGATTATGTCTTAAATTGCCGAAGATATAGATTTATATTGGCTGTATTAATACTTATCACCAATTCTTGGGACAGAGCGACAGTTCAGTGAGTAGAGCATTTGCCTTGCACACAGCTGACCTAAATTCAATCCTCAGAATCCCACATGGTCCCCCACCAGGGGGACCTCCGCCCTCACCTCGCCCTGCCAGTCCATCTCCAACAAAAAGTAAATGAAATACACACAATAATTTGCTTTAGGATTGAAACAAAGTAATCTGTCAAAAAATGTTCTTCAGAGGCCGGGAGACCACAGTATACGAATAAAGCATTTGCTTGTTAAGCAGCGTCACTGGGGTTTGATCATCATACACAGTCATATAAATATCACCAAGGATCACTGAGCACTTCCAGGCTAAGTAAGTACATGCTTTGTATGCCAGAGGCATGGATTTGATCCCTACAAGGAATGATTTCTCAATCACTGGGCATGTGTGATCCAAAAAGAAGCTATAACTAGGGGCTGGAGCGATAGTACAGCAGGTAGGACGTTTGCCCTGCACGCAGCTGACCCAGGTTCAATTCCCAGCATCTCATATGGTCCCGTGAGCACCGCCAGGAGTAATTCCTAAGTGTAAAGTCAGGAGTAACCCCTGAGCATTGCCGGGTGTGACCCAAAATGCACTGTCCTCCTATTTTTTTTTTAAATAGATTATTCATCTATTTGCTTGAGCAGGCCCAGTAATGTCTCCATTGTTAGACTTGTTGTTACTGTGTTTGGCATATTAAATATGTCATGGTAGCTTGCCAGGCTTTGCCATGCAGGTGAGATACTCTCGGTAGCTTGCCAGGTTCTCCGAGAGGGGCGGGGAAAAAAAAAAGCTGTAACTATATGTAAAAAATAAACAGCTACAAAATTTTCTTAAGTAAAAATAAGAAATCAAGAACCCAAATATGGCGCATATGCTGCTGGAGCCCATATGTGCCAAACTTGTGCTACTTGTACCCAGGTGGCAGAGCACATGTGGTACGTGTATGTGCACGAGCCCATCAGTCCTATACTAGCACCACTGAGAAATAAAAAGGTGGGGGGCCCAAAGGATAACCCAATGATTTGCATGCAGGAGGCCCAGATTTGATCCCTGATTGCTGCATGCTCTCCCCAAAGTACTTTGCCAGCAAGAGCCCCTAAGCAATACTGGGTGTGGCCCCCAAACAAATAAAAAACTATAAAATTACAGGTGTGACAAAATCTCAAACTAGAAGAAACATGAAATGTTTTAAAATGATCTAATGTCTAACAAGATAATGTTTCTTCCTCAGGAAAATTGGCTATGACCATAACCGTAACCCTACTATATCAACTAAATATATATATTTATACATTATATAAATATATATTTATATTCTGATATATAAATATCAACTAAAAAATAAATTTCAATTTATTCTGTCAGAGATAGTTTGTTTTTAATTTTCAATTTTTTGGTTTTTTTTAAATTGGGCCACAGAGTAAAAAGTCCTGGTGTGACTCCATAAAAACTCCAGCCCCAATTTTTGTTGGTTTCTGAGCCACACTCAACAGTGCTAGGATTCAATCAAATCTAGGAGTCCTGCAAGCAAAGCATACATTCCAGTCCTTTGATCTATCTCTCTAATTCTTTAAATATAAACTCTAACTAAAACTTGACAAGTGTTAAATATTGCTGCAAGCAAGCTATTAAACATTCATTGTATCACTGTCATCCCATTGTTCAACAATTTGCTCGAGCGGGTGCCAATAATGTCTCCATCATCCCTGTCACATGCTAGTGTAGCCTGATGGCGTATTAGGGGCTCTTTCATGGTCAGGGGAATGAGGACATCACTGTCACTGTTTTTGGCATATCAAGTAGGATACGGGGAGCTTACCAGGCTCTGCTGCATGGGAGACATACTCTCGGTAGCTGGCCGGGCTGAGTGGAGATTCATTAAGATACATACAAAATACTCAAATTTTAAAAAATTTTGGCCAACCTTTTTTTTTTTTTTGCTTTTTGGGTCACACCCGGCGATTCACAGGGGTTACTCCTGGCTCTGCACTCAGGAATCACTCCTGGCGGTGCTCAGGGGACCATATGGGATGCTGGAAATCGAACCTGGGTCGGCTGCGTGCAAGGCAAAGGCCCTAATTGCTGTGCTATCTCTCCAGCCCCCCAACTTCTTTTTTTGGGGGGGGAGGTGGAGGGTTTGGGGCCATACCTGGAGATGCTCAGGGATCACTCCTGGTAAACTCAGAGGACCACTGGGATTTTCAGGGATCAAAGCTGGACATTACTTTTTACAAAATAAATAGCTACTTTGAAGCAACTATATTGGGCTGGAGCGATAGCACAGCAGGTAGGGCGTTCGCCTTACAAGCGGCCAACATGGCCGACCCGAGTTCGATTCCTCCGCCCCTCTCGGAGAGCCCGGCAAGCTACCGAGAGTATTTGATATGCCAGACACAGTAACAACAAAGTCTCCAATGGAGACGTTACTGGGCCCGCTCGAGCAAATCGACGATCAACGGGAGGGCCTTTTACTTTTACTTAATTCTTATGATATAATCTCTAATGATATAAAGTCACACAGAGTCCATTCTAAAATAAAAATTTATAAACGCTAAATTGTTAGATAAATTGTTAGATAATTTAAAAAATTTAGGGATGACAAAAACATGGAAGTCCAAAATAAAAATTCTTAATTAGGGGCGCAGCAATAATACAGTGGATGGGATATAAGTCAACCCAATTTCTTTTTTTTTTTTCCCACAGTGAATAATGTGCTTTTCTTTTCTTTTTTTTAATTTATTGAATCACCATGAGAACAGTCACAAAGCCTTTCACTTCAAGTCTCAGTTGGTCATACAATGATCAAACACCCATTCCTTCACCAGTGCACATTTTCCACCAAGAACCCCAGTATGCCCCCCACCCACCCACCCCCTGCCTGTGTGGCAGATTTCCACTTTACTCTCTCTCTCTCTACGCTGATCACATTCAATATTACGACAAAAAACCCAACATTGTTATTTGAAATTTTCCCCAACATTCAGACCTGCCACAAAAACATCATTAGATAATTTGTCTTCTATTGCTGATTATTAAGAGCATATGATGTCGTGTGGCCACAATAGCGGCCACCCGAATTTGGATTTCTGATATTTTAGTAATAAACCTAGAGGGATTACTGCCGGAAGCCCCTGGGTTCCGAGATTGGTATGTGTGCCTCTGGGTTCATGGTCGGTCAGAAGCCAGAGGAGGCATTTGAGGGTGGCAACCCGGAGCATTGTCATGGCAGGGAGCAGGGCCGATCACACCCCACATCCCATAAAGCCCCACGTGCCTCGTCAATGCAGTCACATACCTGGCCGTTCATTAGGCTCTAAAAGATGCAGGCCACCATGCCGCCACCAGAAAGGGGGACCGTTCCCCCTCCCATTTCGGTTGGGCATTATATTTTGCTCAGATTTTTCCATCACCATTCAAGCCTAAGTCAAGCCAATTTCAATCTGCAGCATCATGTTTGGTCCCCCAAGCACCACCAGGAGTAATTCCTGAGTGCAGAGACAGGAGTAACAACCCCTGAGAATCACTGAGTGTGACCCCAAAACAAACAAACAAACAAAAAAAACCAAATTCTCAGTGTGCTAGAAAGAGCTCAATATACTGGGACCTGGCACTGTGTGGTCCCCTGAGCTTGAGGTTAGAGGACTGATTAATGTAACTCAAACACACACAAAAAAACTGGTATTTTGATTTGTGCAGTCAAATATTACCGTAAAAATAACATGTGTTGGGGCTGGAGTGATAGCACAGTGGGTAGGACGTTTGCCTTGCACACAGCCGACCAGGGTTCGTTTCCCAGCATCCCATATGGTCCCCTGAGCACCGCCAGGAGTGATTCCTAAGTGCAAAGCCAGGAATACCTCTGAGCATCGCCAGGTGTGACTCAAAAAGGAGAAAAAAAAAAGTGTTTCCTAAACAAGTTTCTGGACTTAAGCTAAATACTTACTGTACCAAAGTCACCCTACAGAACATCTGCCTTCTTTAAGGCAGCACATCTGGCGTCAGAACTGCCAAGTCTGGCACTGTAGCACTGCACTGTCCTCCTGTTGTTCATCAATTTGCTCAGCGGGCCCAGTAACATTGTAAGACTTGTTGTTACTGTGTTTGGCATATCAAATATGTCACAGGTAGCTTGCCAGGCTTTGCTGTGAGGGCAAGATACTCTCAGTAGCTAGCCGGGCTCTTCGAGAGGGCAGGAAGAATTGAACTCAGGTCGGCTGAGTTGGCAAGGTTGGCCGCATGCAAGGCAAACGCCCTACACGCTGTGCTATTGTGAAACCAGAAAATGGGCAGGATGGTAGACACTGCCCAGGCTGTGCCCTGTTTTGCCTGAAGGCAAAGAACCTTCACCAGAAACTGTCCAGCAGCTAGCTCCCCAGGAGGGGACTATTTGGCCACTCTGGGCCCAGCCATCTGTCCCCCACCTGTCCCAGCTCTCCTGTCCTATAAAAAGCCTCTTCTTGAGTTGGAAGCAACTGCCAGCTTCCAAGCCGTCCTTCTGGCCCTGCCTCCAAGTCCCCCATGAACTGGCCCTCTGGCTATAGACCTGGACCTCTAGGTCACATGCTGGTGGCGTCCAGGGAGTCTGTGACAGACCAGGCTGCAAACCAGACACATACCCCCGAGCAGCTGGGGTGCATCCCCCCTCCCTGCCCGGCTCTGTCTCTGGGGTTGGCCAAAACCCTTCAGCGTTTGACTCTAAGCCTGCAGTAAGAGGATTATTTGAATCATTTGAAAACAGTCTTAAATCCAGGCACCCTCGAATGCCCTTTCTGCCTGGTTTCAACACAAGCACAGTCCCCTGGAAGGGGGGGGGGGGGCATCTCCTGGGTCCCTGAAGAGTGTGCGCCCCAGATGCAAGGTGAGTTTCAGAGAAGTCACCAAGGGATGGAGAGTTGGTACCACGATATGGCGCCAGCCGGTTGGCGCAGTACAACTCGCAGCTGACCCGAGTTCCATCCCCGGCACCTCAGATGGTTCCCAGAGCACCTCCAGGAGTGATCCCTGAGCACAGAGCCTGGAGTAAGTCCTGAGCACCCCTGGGGGTGCCCCCCCCAATAAACTAAACCAAACAACTCAAAGAAATCGCTGGGTATAACTTCTTTTTTTTTTTTTTTTGCTTTTTGGGTCACACCTGGCGGTGCTCAGGGGTTACTCCTGGCTCTGCACTCAGGAGTTACTCCTGGCGGTGCTCGGGGGGACCATATGGGATGCTGGGAATCGAACCCGGGTCGGCCGTGTGCAAGGCAAATGCCCTACCCACTGTGCTATCACTCCAGCCCCGGGTATAACTTCTTATCCACACACTCCGGGCTTCCCAAGCAAGTCAGATCCAAGCCACCTCCACTGCCTGGTGTCACTCCAGAGCATTCGGGCAGATTTTGTTGTCCAGAAGATTAGCAATGCTCTGAGAGAGTTTGTCAAGGACCAAGAGGATCAGAGGCAATGCTTTGGGCTTACTCCTTCCTGGCTCTGCACTCAGGGATCACTCCTGGAGGGCTTGGGTGACCATATGGGATACAGGGGATCAAACTCTCTCAGCCAGCGCAAGTGGCCTATCCACTATACTCTCTCTGCCTCCCCACTACCCCACCAAAACGTAATGTAAACCCAAACCACGAGATAAAGAAGCATGAGTCTGTGTGGTAGCAATGTTCTAGAACTCCCAAGGTAATCAATCACAGGTTAAGTGAAGAACAGAACCTTACTTAGTAAGATAAAATTAGGCCAATTACTCACTTCTGGGTTTCTAAATTTTTCTCTTTCTTAGGCATGAAACCAAAGGAAATGGTTGCATACCTTTTGATTTTTCTTTTGAAAGTCCATAAAACATTAACTTTGCAAAAAAGTTTTACTTAGAGTGATAATACAGCGGGTAGGGCGTTGGCCTTGCTTGCAGCTGACCCGGGTTCGATCCCTGGCATCCCATATGGTCCCCCAAGCACCGTCAGGAGTAATTCCTGAATGCAGAGCCAGGAGTTAACCCTGAGCATCACTGGGTGTGACCCAAAAGAACAAAAAAAAAAAGTTTTACTTAAATACAATTATTTTTCCAGAATTAAACCCAAGAACATACTCATCCATTTTCTCTTCTCTATTCTAAGATTTCCCAAAGCCCTCCCAGCCCTATGTCCAGGAAACTTCCTACTTTCTTCCCTGTACTTCTCATGTATAGAATGTCCAAGATTAATTTTTGTAAGGGAGAAGCTGCTGCAGGCCAAACCTGGTAGGCCCTATCTTTAGGGTCAAATTACTGGAACCTTTTCAGAATGAGGCAAGTTGAGTTTCTGCCCTCTTGGAGGGTCTAGCACTCTACCTACCTATACCCACTTTAGCTGGCATTTAAACTGTCCAGTTCCAGACCCCAAGACCAGCTGCGCAGAACCAGGTAGGCCTGGGGCATCAAGGTGCTGAATCTTCCTAGCGACAAGCTGCTGGAATGATATCTCTAAAGTTCACAGTGTGGACTGTCCAGCAGGAACACAGAAAATTAGATGGGATAGTTGTATAGAAGACCAGTATGATCAATTTGTGAAAACAATAGCATGGAAGACTTAACTAACACTCGGCAAATCCTAACACCATTGAGATAAAAGCTGAAATAAGCAATATAAAGAAAATTATTTTGTGCCTGTTAATGGGGCAGGCTGGGGGGTAGGTAGGTAAATTGAAACACTGGTGGAGGAAACATCACATTGGTGGTGGGATTGGGGTTGGAATGCTGAATACCTGAAACGATGTATTATGAACAACTTTGTAAATTCGTGTTTAAGTAACACTTCAAATGGGAAAAATAGAACAAACAGCAAAAAATCCCCCTGCAACCCATAAAAAACATCAACTCCTGCCTTGAAGCAAGATGTAATAAACCATGATAACACTTTAATACATCAAAGACTGTCAGTAAGATGGCTCAAAGGATTAGAATGCATGGTTAGCATGAAGGAGCCTCAAATTCAATGTCCGGTACTGCATGGTCCCTGGAGTGCTTGAGCACAGATCTCTAAGATGTCCCTGAGCATAATCGGTATGGCTAAATAAATAAAAAGCTTGTTATGGGTCACAGTGACATGCTATTTTCAACACTTCGAGGTTAATAGCTAGCAGTATGTAGCACTCTGTTGCCACAGAGTAATTACAAAAATACTTAAAGGTCTTAAACGGAGTTACAACTTACTTTAGGGGATCTTCTTGATCACTGTCTATGCTATCAGCTTCACTGTCAGGATCACCTCTCCACGTCTGATCCACAGTAATGGGTTCCTGCTCCCCATCACTCCAGCTATCTTCATCTGAGGCAAGGGAGAAGAACGCCAGTAAGACTTTCCACCTCTGTAACCCCACCAACACTCAAAGCTCAGTTACTTACTATGTCAACCCAAATCTTAAAATTTAAATTAGGAAAATGTTAACACAGTTGATTACTCAAAAATTATATCCTCAAAAGAAAAGCTACCTCAAAATAACTGCTTACCTTAACAATATAAATATAAAACAATTAAAAAATAAGCCCAATAGTTATATACTTTCACTCTGAACCTGGAGACCTGTAACTCCTGGAGATCTCACCAAACTGTCAAAAAGTACTGTATTATCAAATGCATTCATCTTTAATGTTTAAATAATTTTTTCTTTTAACTTTCTTCCTCCTCCTTTCATTCTAAAGCAGAAGACCCTTACCCAAAATTCGGCTTGCTTCACTACGACTACTTTCTGGAGTCTGAGACCCCAGCTCTGTCTTCGCATATGAACTCAGCTGGCACAAGAGTGTTTCACCCATGGGCCCGGGATTAGTCTTCTTCATCTGAGCATGAAGTGCCAAGGCATTCCTGCGAGCATGTTCAGCGCAGAAGGACACCCTAAGGAGACAAATGTTAACATCTTTTATTCAGACAGCTCCAAGAATCCAAGAGTTTTAAGTTACTAATCTCTAGATCATTTTAAAGAAATTAAAATGAGCTGTGGAGAGTACAACAGATAAGGCACCTGGACCCGAAGCCAATCCCTGACACTCAGTATAATTCTCTGAGTCCCACCAGGTGTGATCCTTGAATGCAGAGCAGCCAGGAGTAAGCCAGAAACAGACAGACAGAAAACGAACAAAAACGGACTTTTCATCTTGCAAATAAGAAAGGCTACTGAGGCAGAGTAATTCAACTGGGCCAAAGTCAATTTAGTGCTGCTAAAAGGAAATGCAGGCATACGCGGCACCCACCGAACCACTCCAATTAAAATGCTGACATCATCATCTCACAACAAATCACAGCAATTCTCTTGCATTCCTCAAAACTGGTTCTAGGAAGCAGCTACATCTGACTTTATTATCAACACACTTTAGGCAATACATGCAAGAGAGAATGTTACGCAGAACTAGCCATGCTGTTTTACATAGAAAATTACAAAGCCTTGCCCCCCCCAACATATACACATATATAATTCTGTGTATTAAACAAGCTGCGGAATGGCAAAAAAATGAAGAGCCCCAGATCACAGGGCTAAGCATAATTAGAATATTCTTTTAACAGGTATGAGATCCAAAGAAACGAAAAAAAAAAAAAAAAAACGCGGCCCAAGGGGGCTGGAGAGAGCGCACAGCGGATAGGGCGTTTGCCTCGCAGGAGGCCGACCCGGGTTCGATTCCCAGCATCCCATGTGCTCCCCTGAGCACTGCCAGGAGTAAGGCCCGAGTGCAGAGCCAGGAGGAACCCCCGCGGCCCAAGACGGAAGCCTCCCAGGTGTTCTTTCCGTTAACTTTGCAAAGATGAGCCCAAGCCCGCGCCCCCAGCCCCGTTTCACGGGACGCCGCCAAGAGCCCCGCCAAGACCATTCTCGCCCCGGACCCTCGCCGACGACACCCAGACCCACATGCGTGCACACATACGCGCCCATACCCATCTTTCTTCTCGGGCTTCGGGGCGGCACTGGGGCATCTTTTCCCGTTCTTCGTCGATATGTAACTGCACTGCTTGAAGGGCGCATTCCGGTCTTCGAGGATGTGCTTAAGGCAAAACTCCTGCCCCTCCAGGCGAGGCTGCGAGCATGGGCGATGGGCGAACGAGCAGGACAGCGGCTCCTGGGACCTGGGCACTGGGGTGATCCTGCCCCGATTGGTCGGCAAGACGTGGATCCGGATCCTGTTCATACCAAAACCTACGAGGGTCGCACAGAGACGGAACGCGCTCCTTACCCCGCTCGGAAACGCCCGCCCCAGCACGTCCGGGCGCTCCTCGGCCGCGTCCGCGACTCTCCCCGCGGTTCGAATCGCCCCCCCGCCCCCGCCACGTCCCGAGTGTCTCCCGGGCTCGCAGGGCCGCGGCGCCGGCGGGGGACGCCAGCGCCCGCCACGCCGCAGCCCGCCTCCCTGCACGCCGCCTTTGTCCCGGCCCGCCTCAGACCTCACAGCCGGGCCCCGCCAGTCCTCGGCGGCCCGTGCAAGCGCCATTTTGTCCTGAGTCTCCGAGGACCGGAAAAGCTGCCACCTAAGGAACATATCGGACGAGAGCGCCCCCGACGCCAGCGGAGGCCGCGCGGCGGTTTCCACAGGGAGGCAGGAAGGGCGGAGCAGCAGCCCAACTGCAAAGGCGAAGAGCGAGCGCCGCAGCCATCTTACCTCCGCCGCTAAGCCGCGTCGCTTGCCCTCTGGCTGCTCCGGACTCAACCCCGCAGCTTGCTGAGGCCGCGACCGCTGATTGGATGCGGCGCCCACGACGCTAGCTCGCCATTGGCCGTGGGGCGGCCGGCAACCAATCCGGACCGGAGGGGGGCGGGGCCCTGCGAAAGTGCGGGCGGGGCGACTGGGAGCTCGGGGCGGGGCGCGGGAGGGAGCCCGGCTGGCGGCGGCTCCGCGCGCTCGCGGGTGAGGCGCTGAGGCGCTGAGGCGGCTGAGGCGGCGTGTCCGTCTCTCAGAGTGACTCATTTTCTGGCCGCCGCTACCTCCGCACCCCTACGCAGCGGGTCCTTAGGGATAAGTCCGGGATTCACGGTCCCGTTGGCTGTTTACTGTTCAGCCAGGAAAAAGGCTTCGTTTCCTGTCGTGAGCGAAACGTGTACGTAAACGTTTCTGGAGTGATCGCTGAGTTTGTGGAAATGTTTCGTTTTTTTAGGGAAATCCTCCGGAGGACAGCCCCGGGGAGGTGGCTGTCGGGGTTGGAGCACGTGCTTTGCGTGCAGGGAGCCCCCGATTCCATCCCCGGGAGGCGACGCACCCGGCGTCGCGTCGGCAGGCGTGGCCCCCAAGCCCCGAAAAACAGGAGCGACGTTAATGAGAGGACAGAATGGTTCAGATTCAGAAAAAAAAAAAGGGTTCAGATTTAGTTAGTGGGGAGAGGGGTGAATTTGAACCCAGCTCATTCTCTTGTGTCTTACAGCTTCATCGAGAATATGGGGGGGGGGGGGGGGGTCGGGGCGATTGCTCTCGGCCCACCGAGGTTCAATCCCCGACCCTCAAGGTGGTCTCCATCCTCGCCTGGTGCCTCTCTGAGTGCAGAGCCAGGAGTGAACCCTAAGCACCGCCTCGTGTGGTCCCAAATCCAAATAGAATTAAGATGAAAAAAAAATTATGATGAAAGTTGAAATTAAACTAAGGGGCTGCCTGGGATGGAGTTCAGTGGTGGGGCATTTGCAAGACGCTGGGTTCATCCCCCGCACAAGGGGAATGGGCAGACAGAGGAAGGTAGCACGTCGGGAGTTTTGGGTAACTACAGAAGGTCCTTTTCTGAAACTCATTCATTCAGCAAGTATTTATTTTTGCCTTTTTGGGTCATACCCAGCTATGCTCAAGGATCACTCCTGGCTCTGAACTCAGGAATTACTCCTGGCGGTGCTTGGGGGACCATATGGGATGCTGGGGATTGAACCTGGGTCGGCTGCGTGCAAGGCGAATGCCCTACCCGCTGTGCTATTGCTCCAGCCCCCAACAATTATTTATTTAGCAGTATCAGGCACTGGATAGACAGAGAGAACAAGGTAATGATGTGTTTTTTATTTGGGGGTGGGGTTTTTTAAGCAGCCCTCAGTGACCCACATGCCATACCCACCAGGACAGATGATTCCATGATCAAGCATATCTGTGCTGCAGCCATCAGAGCCATGGGGTGAGAACTCTGTCCCTGAAAATGTAATGATGGTGCCCCTAGATCCTCTATCCCAACCCTGCTCACTTTACCATTCTAGAGCAGTTTGACACTGACACAGTATCAGTATCAACAATATAGAAAGCAAACACTCCAATTCAGACAGGGTAGAAAGACAGATTTTAAAAAACACTAAAACTTGAGGGTCAGAGCAATAGTTCAGCAGGTACAGCTCCTGCCTTGCATGCAGCTGACCCAGGTTCAATCCCTGTCGCCCTTATGCTCTCCAAGCCCCGCCAGGAGTAATCCTGAGCCCAGAGCCAGGGGTAACCCCTGAGCATTGCCAGGGGTGACTTCCCCTCAAAAAAATTTTTTAAGGACAGTAGTAATAGTATGGTGAGTAGGGTACTTGCCTTGATGTCCTGAATTTGATTCTTAGCATCCCCAAGCAACTCCAGGACTAATTTCTGAGTACAATCAGGAGTAACCCCTGAGCATCACTGATGTGGCTCAAATACACACTGAAACTAAAACACTAAACACTAAAATTCAGGGGCTAGAGAGAATACAGCATGTAGGGCGCGTGCCTTGCACTCTGCGGAACAAGGTTCCAACCCTGGCACCCATATGGACCTCTGAGCCCACCATGAGAGATCTCTGAGCAGAGCCAGGAGTGAGCCCTGAGCACTGTCAAGTATGGCCCAAATAAAATAATAATAAACACTAAGGGTTAGAGAGTATAGCAAGGTAAGGTGGTTGCCTTGTATGTGGCTGACCTGGGTTCAATCCTTGGCACAGCATATGACCTCTCAAGAGATCCTGAGTGAATGGGCTGGAACAATAGCACAGCAGGTAGGGCGTTTGCCTTGCACGTGGCCAACCCAGGGTTCTATTCCCAGCATCCCATATGGTTGGTCCCCGGAGCACCACCAGGAGTAATTCCTGAGTGCATGAGTCAGGAGTAACCCCTGTGCATTGCTGGGTGTGACCCAAAAAGAAAAAAACAAAATAAACAAATCAGGAGATACTGAGTGCAGAGCCAGCAGTAAGCTGGGTGTGGTCCTTCACCCTATTCCTCCTAGCCATAACCCCCCCATCCCCCAATAAAAGAGTAAACTCAAAGCTACAAGCAGGCATTCATATTATTGGGAATCAGAATCTGCAATCGGATGTGATGATTAACAAAATTTTAAAATTACTACAGTGAGCAACATAAAGAAATGCAATAGGGGCTAGGTAGGAATCTGCTTAAAGAATTTAAGAACTTAGAAGAGGGGGCTGGAGTGATAGCACAGCGGGTAGGGCATTTGCCCTGCATGCGGCCTGACCCGGATTCAATTCCCGGCATCCCATATGGGCATCCCATATGGTCACCCAAGCATGGCCAGGAGTAATTCCTGAGTGCATGAACCAGGAGTGACCCCTGTGCATCGCTGGGTATAACCCAAAAAGCATACAAGCAAACACACACACACACACACACACACACACACACATATATCTTGGTTGAGAAATAAAATCACCCTAATACAAAAATAGTAATACAAAGTGTTTGACACAAAAATAATAACTTTAGAACTAGTTTGGAAAGTAGCTATTATAATATCAAAACATTGGCAAGTTCTTTATGCTGTTTAACAAAGTATGCTAGAGAGAGAGAGAGAGAGAGAGAGAGAGAGAGAGAGAGAGAGAGAGGGAGGTGGGGGGATGGCAAGGCTGGAGGGGTGGAGATGGAGGGAAATTGGGGAACAGTGGTACTGGGAAATGCACACTGGTGGAAGGATGGGTGTTGGAACACTGTATGACTGAAGCCTAATCATGAACAGATTTCTAAGGGTTTATCTCAATGATTCAATTACAAAATTGAAGAAAAAAAACAAGTAGATAGCTAAGTTTTGTTGTTCTTTAAGGAGGGGTGGGAGTACTCAATAGGTCCAGGGTAATACTTAGCCTAGTTGTGAGTCTAATGGCTGTGCGGCATTGGTGATACCAGCAGAGCTAAGGGAACCATGTGGTACTATGGACTGAACTTAGGTCTCTAGCATGCAAGTCATATGCTCTATTCCTTTGACCTATGCCCCTGGCCTAGATAGCTATTTTTAACCCACCGGGTGTGACCCAAAAAGGGGTCAGGCCGCGTGCAAGGCAAACTGAGCACTTTGTTGACTACTGACCTGACAACTCATTCAGTTAAGGCCCAAAACAGGGAGTCATCCTTGAATTTTTCTTCCACCTTGTAACAGATCCTATGATTTCAACTTTAAGATAATATAATTTACTTTCAACACTTCGAATGTAGTCCAAGCCACTCTCATTTCTTACTGTCTCTATTGCTGGACTCCTAAAATCCATTCTCAACAGAGCAGCCCAAATGAAAAATTTTATTTTGAGGCCACACCTGGTTATGCTCAGGGTTTATTCCTGACTCTAAGGGATCATTCCTGACGAGGTGCTGGGGAATCAAACCCGGTTGGGTGCAGGCAAGACAAGCACCCTACCTGCTGTATTCTCGAACTCTCAAATGAACTTTTTTTTTTCATTTTGATTTTTGGGCGACACCTGGAAGTGCTCTGGGATCCCTCCTGACAGTGCCTGGGGGAATCACATGCTAAGAATCAAACTAGGGTTGGCTGTGTGCAAAGCAAGGCCTTACCCCCTAATACAATCTCAGTGGTCCCTCTGCTCAACTTTACAAAGGTGCCCATTTTAACTTTCTTCACTACCCTATTATTGTCTCTTAGCATCATGTTCCACTTTCCTCAGTATTTCCATACTACCTATATTGGCTTTCTTGCTATGTCTCAAACATGTAAGCTTAGTATCATCTCAGAACCTGGCTCTGCACTCAAGAATTACTCCTGGTGGTGCTTGGTGGGACCATATGAGATGCCGGGGATCAAATCCAGGTCGGCCACGCCCTACCTTCTGTGCTATCGCTCCGGTCCCCAACCAGCAGTCCTTCTAGAGCACTTGAACTAGTTAATTTAGTATTTTACCCTAAAAATTGGTTCCTCAGCTTTAAAGATAGCTCAATAGACAGAACACACGGTTTGCACTCAGGAGGCCCAAGTTGGATTCCCAGCACATAAGCTCCCCGAAGAACCACCAGAAGGAACTCCCAAGCACAGACATAAAAGCAGCATCCGAGCACTTTTGGATTGTGGCCCCTGAACAAAATCCTTCCAAGATTCGCCTGTTTTACACCTCTCCCCCCTGAATTGGGGAAAATGGAGGTGATCAGCCAGCAATATTCAGGGGGAACTCCTGGAACAGTGCTCAAGGTCGCTGAGGGGACCATTCAAGTGCCAGGGATTGAACTTGGACTTCCTGCAAACTAAGTATGCGTCCATTCCATTGAGCTACCTTTTTAGCCAATGTCTACTTTTGTTATGACCAGAAAAAGGGTTAAATAATCACTTACTTTCCTAGGTATCACCAAGAATTCTTCATTGCATCTTCCC